GGACCTTAATCAATGACAAACACTTGTAGGCTTCACATCCTGAAGTGAAAGCTCTCGTGCTGTGTTGCCCTTGAAACATTGGTTTTCCTTTTTTTTACTTCTTAGATAAAAACCCTCACAAAGACACAGAAGAAGAGTTTGGAGGATGTTGATAAGTTGGATGTTACATGTATTGAAAGGACCTGACAGTGATGGATACCAGGGGTTCTATGTATATTCAGCTCCAAGACTGATAAACCAGACTGAAGGGTCACCTGCTTCCGAGAGGAGGGGTCTTTTCTACAAGAATTTTTGCTTCCAAACAAACAGACTACACTGCTTTACTTGCTGTCAGGTTTTGTTCTTTGCTAAGAGACTGGAGACGACCATCAATCTTGACCTTTTGCTTGATGTCTGGCATATGAATCAAATCTATCAATCAAGAAATCTATAAATTTGCCATTACATGTACTTTAAAATGCATATATCTAAGATACAAACCCTACCAATTATAGAAGTATACTTTCATGAATACTAATACTGGCTTTGTAATTAAAATGCATTCAAGTACATTAGACTGTAATCTATGCTCTCTTCTTGCTTCTTGGTTCAAATGGAGCACAAACAGTCATTGGTTGGTATGAGACATAACATCACACTTTTCAGTACCATGGACAGACATAACAAACACCTAGTGACAGTCCACCATTCACACTGTGGGAATGAAAGATACACTGTTCACAGGACTGACATGTTTTCATGTGGTACTCAATACAATACAATACAATACTATAGCATTGTATAAAATAATTAATTTTTCAATGGTTGTAACATTCATCTCTCATTTGCATGACTGTACATATTTTGGTTCGAGCTTGGTGGAAAAAAGTTATCACTTTTGGATTGCCATTATGTACTCTTGGACAGACAAGCGGGGAACATGAAAGAAGGGAGAAGAGATACGTACTGTACTTACAACATACTGTGGTATTCTCACACCCTGCTTTCGCTGGCTGCAGTGGTCATAGGAACTCTGAAAAACAGGAACATTACCAATGTTTAAAAAAATTACAAGATGCATGTTAGAAGTCAAAAGTTCACAACATGCCCTGTATTTCTAACTTTAGGGAAAAGAGATTATCACATAAAACTCAAGGGCAAGGGCACTTGAAGGGTGGTTGTGTGTATGTAGGCATTCTGGGACATTTTTGTGTAACAATTGTTACCTTTTCTGTATTTTCTGTGTGACCCATACATCCTCCTTCCTTAAGTTTTCAACCTGACGATAACCCACTTTCCACAAAACTGTCAGGACTTTGTTTCCTTAAGAGCAAACTAAGTGCACCATGCTAGTTTCCTGTGTAATCATGCCCAAGATTATACCATCCAGGAGACATGTCCCAATTTGCTTGGAGTTAATAGCATATTAAAGCTGAGACTATTTGGTCCAGTACAAATTTGTTGCTACAGTGTACATGTAAATGGTCAGGGGTTTGTTGTTTGTGTTCAGTTGCAATCCAGACTGTTTGGAGCATTCTGGCATATTGAGAGCTCAATCAGTTTATTCTGGTTATATACATGTATAATGGTCTCCCTTCCCAAGGCCCTAGCATTGAAGATGACACACTAACCCACTTTACAGCATGCTGTTGGCATGGGAGCAATAGCAGTGCATGCAACGTCAGCTCCTCAGGCAATCATGATCCAAAATTAAGTTTCTCCAGGAGACATGTTCCCATTAAGCAAAGATAATTGCATAAAATTGTTTCATGAGACTTTCTAATTTAGTGCAATCCATCAGAATAGTGTGATAAGGCAAAAGGTAAAAGTTACATAGCCTTTTTGAGGCTGTAGTGGCACTAAATATAGGTTGTTAATTCACGGTATTGAAAGACAGCCCATCACTCTCCTTCCACTGCCTCTACCTCCCCATCCAAAGTCAGGTATCCTGGCATTTTACACCTGGGTAAAGTGAGGAAAATTGTATAAAGTGCCGTTCCCAAATGTCTAGCCAGGAATGATAGGAATCAAAGCTGTGTCCTCTCGATCTCGTGTGTGCAAGGCTAGCTGCAAAAACTAGACATAACAAAATTAGTTCCACGACCTCATACTGTACCGTTGCCAAATGATGTAAACATTAGGTCCAGATTTGCATAATTGTCATTTAATTATGTCAAGCATCACTTAAGGTATGAACATACCAAAAATCACGATGATCCACCAAAATTGAGTTATCCACCTTCAAAAATTTTTCAACAAATGCTTCTGCAGTACCATAACAAGCTGCCAGGGAGCCCAAAATCTAATCATTTGGATACCTATCCACCTATCAAATTATCAAGTTATATGCAACTCAACTAACTTGCACATTTTTAGAAGACCCCAGAATAAGTCAGTGTAGCATGTTTTTCACACAACATGAAGGCATTAATTAAGAACGCTGCATTATTGACTGTAATGACTGCAATTTTCTCAATGATGTTCCGAACCCTCTGTAAAATTTACCTGCAGTAATGACCCTATTGACAACCGTCAGTTCACAGCACAGAATACTAAAATATAAATGGCGGCCTCGTATCGACAGGCTGTGAAATATCACATCTCTAAGGGACGGGGCTGGAATGACTGGGGGTGGGTTGTTCTTAGTCTTGATCTAGCCTCTGAATATTCCTAGTATCTATATAGTTATCATATCTGCAGAAAGAGCAACTCTGTTAAAAATACTGGATTCACTAGCACCATTGCTTATGAAAAGTTATATATTATAGAGATATAATATATAATAAACCCTCCTGATTTTCAGAGATGAAAATTTATCAAGAGAACAGGCTTTTCATAACAGTGTATATGCCACAATACACATATAGAGAATAATCCATGCAAAGTGCGTGATCTGTGTGGAAAAATCCATCACACGCTCAATACCCTTTGGTGCCACATCTTGCATAAATCTTGCAGCTTAAAGGGCCTCCAGCTGATGAAATGCCATAAGGAATGGGAGGGGTTCTCACAGCTGACACTATAACAACAAGACTTATGTGGACCTTGAACTGCTATAAGTAAACTTTTGACAACCACTGCAGAAAGTTCGCCTCCCCCATCTCCCCTGAGCCCCAAAGCACTCGTATAATGCCCGTAAAAGCCGTAATGCAATTTACTTTTATGGCTACACTACCAGTCCCTACATACATACTTAAGCTTTCCTCATGAATCAAGTGGCTGGTAGATAGATCTAAGTATTACCAGGCATTCAGAATGACTTTAGGTAGTACATTATGACAGTGGGCCATCAAAATGAGAGGATTTTCGGGAAATCTTCTTCTCTCTTATCTTGAGCAGTGATCGGGCCTTCTGTGACGTCCATTCTGAAGACGATGAGTCTTCCACAGCGGAGGAAAGACTTTGAACACCAAAAGAGGAAATACAGAAAGGGCATAAATGTGCCACTTACTCCACAGCTAACTACCGTAATTGATCCATAAAGATGTGAAATATTGATTATCACATTCCCTTGGGTACATTACTCCAATGTTGAACATAAACCTGGAACTTTTGCATGAAAGCCATTTCCAAGATATGACACATAACTGATGGAATGGTAGGCAATAATGTACATGTAAAAAGCCTTGATAGCATTTGTAAAGAAAATCAAGATCAAAGCAGCTTAAAGACTAAAGTACTATTGATCACGGCATACATTGTACATAGAGACCTCAAGCTTGCTTTTAAAATGTAAATTATAAACTTTACCAAAGCCAAATTTGTATATTGTGATTTGATGCTACATACATTATACAGCTGACATTATATCTTCAGCATTTCCATAAGGCCACACCAATTTAATTTCTTGGTCAACGGATTTTTCTAGAAAAATAATGGTACGGGCGGGCGAAAAAAATAAATAAAAAATAAAAACAGGCCTAGGCATCCTATTATGGCCCAAAATGGTACGATAGGAGCCAAGAAGTCAACACACCAGGCTGGTTCAAAATCTAAACAATGAATTTTGAACTTTCAATGATACCATTGCATTGAAAGATGGAATAACTGTAACAACTAGGAACTTAGAAAAGGACTGTTTTGAACTGTTCAGGGCAAAATATGAGCATTTTGCAGTTGATTCTGAATTTTTTTTTTGCAAATCAGAAAACAATGAAGCAGGCGAATCTGTTAAGCAGGAAATTAAATTGGTGTGGCCTAATGCAAAGCCTATTTCACAGCATTCTGAAGTTTAATGTAATTAATATACATACATCTGGTAAGGTTTGTTCTTTTTTATAGCAGTCAATTGAGAACTGTTTCAGTTACAGTTTCTCTAGGAAAACTGTGCCACAACTAGCAAACTCATAGAGGATATCTGATCAGATGACGAAGATATACATTGTATGACACAAAATTTTGACTGTAACGTCAATTTCGATTCAATGCTTTGAAGAAGAAAATGAAATGCCTGTCCCTAATATTGCTCTATAAACATGAATATGCCGTACATGTGCAGCAAGCTGATATAGTCATGTCTATACACAATGTGATTGATGGAATACATTTTGTTCTGTGCTTATGGGCCAAGTTCAAATTTTACTGGGAATACAGTCAAATGAAATATTAATACACGGAACAAGATTAGATAGTGAAAAATTGGGGTCTATTTCAAACTACAATTTTTTAAATATCTGTAAGGAAAAACCATTTAGGACATAAAGGAAAATACTGAATTGCTAATGTCAAATATACATGAATACAGATGGACCATCTGCCTGGGGTTTTCACAGCATATCATCCAAATGTACCTACATGTAATGGCTGCCATAAAGGTACCTCTGATACACACTCTATGTTGGCTCATATAAAGCTGTGTCTGATGTGACACCTTGTCATGCCCTTCAGCAAGATAACATTGGCATGAAGCTTCCTCCCATACTGATTTGTGCACTGACTGATGTCCAAATGTTACTGTATCTCTTTTCAAAGTTGCGATTTTTACACGAACATACAATACTGCACAAGAACTGTACATTGTACACAGATGTGCAGAAATTTGGAAAAAGGTGTAACTAAAGAATGTCTAAGACCTGATCACCAACATATTGATCTTTGTACTTTTTTATTATTCATATGTATACAGATACCAAAGATTACTAGGCTGCATGAGTGGATCTCCTTTTAATAAATTCAAGATAATGGTTTTACAGTGGCAGTCTTAGAGTACATGTACCTGGATGAATTGTGAGATCTATCCCTGCAAGGAGTCTATAAAGGAACTCAACATACACTTTCTTTGGGGAGAATTCCTCTTTACATTGCTGCAGACACTGGTTGTGCCCATTCTTTTGATGGTTCCAAAGTAATGTTGTTTCAATCTGATGCTGTTTGGCATCAATCCCAAAGGTTATACTCATAAATGGATTTAGAGTGCATTTAGAAATACTGTGGCTGAAATATAAAGTCCAGAGAGATTCAGTATAACATCTAATTTTGATTCAGATACAGTCAAACCTGGTCTCAATAACCACTCAAGGGTCTGAGAAAAATGGTTGATGAGGAGTGGTTGCTTTAGTGTAATGCGTTGGTTGGCCAGTTGGCCAGAAGAAAAGTAGTTACTGTGGCTGATGCATTCCACATTTAATGGCTTCATTTAATCTCCATGTACTGTTGCCCAGTTATTATCCATCAGCACTGCATTTGTATAATCAGTCATGTTGACTGTCAAAAGCTAAGAAATATTGACTAAAAACTGGGGGTTTTGTGACTCAACCAGCATGCAGTCTGAAGTTATTCCAACTTCCATAAGTTCAAGTATCCACTACTCGATGGATGTCTCTAACAAAGGGGCAGGAGAAATATTGAGTGCAACTCAGAGTTAAAATGGAAAGCCTGATACAGATGGATTCGCACGTTCTATCTCCTTGTGCCAGTTGTGGGCTTGCTGGATCAACTGCCACAGAGAGCTTGTTTCGTGTTCTGTGTTATTTGTCATGAAATTGAGGTATTGATTTTTTTGTAACAAGATCGTGCCAGGCTTTAAGTTTGCTG